AAATCAAACACATGAAGTGGCTTGTAAGGACAGCTGAAAGGAAGAAATAGGGCAAGCATTTTCAAAAAATGCTTTGTTCTGCATTTTCAATCTGAACCAATGTTCAATTTTCTCATATATCATAGACTACAAAAAAGGTATCAATGTGCAGCTTCTAGGTCAGTCAGCATGTCTAATCCATATATGACCTGACATTCTTACTGCAGAGTTTCAGTATTAGTCATTGTCTTTGCACAGATAGAGATATATTAGTTGCTTGGGTTTTTTGTTTTGTTTGTTTTGTTTTATTTGTTTTTACTGGTGCTGTCATTTTGCTCTAAAGTATGTGGGATGTATATAAATACCACAGAACAGATATTGGTACTCATCCTCCCAGAAAGGGAGAGGCCAAAACAGAACAGAGATTGTGGTGCTGTAACACATCTATTTTGGTTCCTGCTAAGCTTCACAAAGGGGCTTGTTATGTTGGAAGAGGTGGTGGTGCAAAGAACAAGCAGGGGCCAAGTCAGTATATTTAAGAAGGGAACGATTGTTCTGCATAGGGTATGGAGCTGCCTATGAGCAGAAACTAATCAGCATTTCAAGAACCACCTGCATAAAGTCCTTGCTGCAGCAGGAAGTGCAACAATCCTAATCATTTTTCTTCAGTAAGTGTAGAAGAATTGCCAATGGTTAAGCAGTAGGTGAGAGAATGTGTGGCTAATCCATGGAGCTCAGGTGCAAGCAAATGCCTGGCTCCACCCCTCCTCACCCTCACTTATGGGTTAGCAGCTGAGGGAGCAGTATTCCTCTGGGTAGAGATTACATTTCTCTTGAGCTGTCACTGGTTATTAGAAGAGGTGAGCTATCTTTTTTCTTTGTTACTTGCTATGGTTCCATAGTGCCTGCATCCTGTTAGAAAGCACTGCTGTTGCCTTCTTTTGCTGTACAGTAAAATTTTATTATTGTGGTCTTTGTATTTCTAAAGAAAGAGAGAAGACAGAAATACTGCCTGGGAAGCTAATTGTTGGATATGGGAGGAGGGGGATGAAGGCAAATGAATGTAGAGGAAACAAGGTAGAGAATATCAAAGTACAAAATGACTGACAGAAGTAGACTGACTGAATGTGTGCATAACAGAGGTCATGTCATTGCTCGTGTTGGTTCAGAAGAAAGCAGTGTACTTGCTGTATGCCGTGTCCTACAATTTAGTAAAGCCCTGTAGTTTCGTATGGCTTGTAGCAATGCATAGCATAGGCTGAATTAGATATGTGTCTCTGAATCATAGCTATTCCAAGTGCTGTTGGAGCCAAAAAGCTGGGTTGAAGAGATGCATGGGTAGTCAACAGCTAGAGAAACGGAATGGTGGTATTTAAACACAATGCTGGGTGTTAGTTCTTTAATGATCTGGAAGATTAGGGAAGAAGATTAGGACATCTATGCAAAAGTATTAATTTCTATAATAAAAAATTTCCAGCGCAACTGGGAAGAAACTTTATTAAATAATAGTGATAGAAGCCAACAAAACAAATAAGTTCTTGCCCCTAGACATGTTTCTTATGAGGAAAAATCTAGACTCAAGTCTTCTCTCTATTTTGCAACAAATGCCATTTGCTCTTTTTCTGAAAGAGTGCATGACTCACATTTTTCTTTCTAGCTTCCCCAGCCCCATACATTTCCCTTCAATATCAACTTTTTTATACCCTTAGTATGCTAGGTAGTTATTCTGGGAGATAGTAACAATTACACCCTGCTGTTCACCACATCTGTTTATGAGAAGAACTGTGTTTTCTGTGTGATCAACTCTGCTGCTGTAGACAACATCAGATGCTTATCACAAAATGGCTGCGAGTACTAAGACTGAACTTACAGCAACACATGCTTTGAATGCATTAAAGTATTCTTGGAAGCATTCATCTCTGAGTGGATGCTAGTGGCCTGAAAAGCACTATTTTATATCAGTATCTTGGTTTAACTCAGCTTTTCGTCCACAAGTTGGCAAGTCATTCAAATGAGAGTGGTTTTTAATTATATTATAGCTTTAGAAACGCTAGAACTCGGAATTATATCTAAAAGTAAGTCTCTTCCCTTTTTCATTCCCTTTGCAAAATTCCCAAGCTCAAGACATCATAATGAGTGTATATTTTTTCAAACTACTCTAAACCAATACTTTAATAACCTGTTTGGGATTTGTTTAACATCTTTAACCAAGAGTGATGAGCAGGAACTACTTGCAGCTGCAAATGTGAGTTACAGCTTGCAACCCCACATGCAGAATTATTTTAGATGCACACTGATCAAAGAATCAAAGCTACCATGTTGCGGCACTGAGCTACACACTCATGTAAGCACAACAGTTCTTCTTCTGCTGGGCCTTGGTGTTACTTTGCCTTCTCTGGAGAACTCTGGAGAGGCACAGTTTGTTTTAATCTAAAAAATGTTCAGTTTCCTGAGGTCATTGAGATATAGTACAGTACTGCCTCATGACTGAAAGAAAATACCTGCATTAACTCCAGATGGGGCATGAAAGCACTAAAAAATCCTCTAAAATAAAACAAAGCAAATGTCCACAAAAATATTACCAACACAAGTGCTATATTTTCATAAATATATAAATAAATTACCTCATCCAAATTAATGCATGGTTATTAGCTTTTTCATTATTTGTAGCCATAGGCTGAATATCTAGCTTCAAAACATAAATGGAAATTATTAAAGACAGGCATCTGAAATATATTCAGATTATTTTATCAATGGAGAGGGTGAATTGCCTACATTTAACTTTCCTTCTCTCTCAGTCAATCTGTACAGCACCAGGATACTTTAATGCTGCCTCACCATTTTTTGTTTGTACTCCAACTAAAGCCTTTATTCTTTCCTGTGAGGAGCTTAAGCATTTGGAAAACTACACCTGTATTACTTGGTAGGAATGTGTGGTAAACAATCTTTAAATTAGGAAAAAATACTGCTTATAATTCTGAAACTAATACAGAAATGATCCACTGGGAAAGTAAGTGTTTAGGTGGTGTAACTGCAGATAATCTCTTTAAAAGTATTTGCTTACTTTATGGAGTGCTCTGTAACAGAGAGAGATTTTCTGTTACCCTTAACATGGCCCCATTTTTCCTTGCAGAAACAGTTTCTAAAATCCAGAAGAGTCTCACAGCACAGTGCAGTAGATACAAGCCAAACATTTTTTTGGCTTCAGCCTGCTGTACCGTGCTGTGTGATACTTTGGCTTTGCTCTGCTGAAGCACAGAACAGTTTCCAAGCTGCAAAGTCTTTCCACAGCCCCCATATGAGCAAAAGTAATCAGATTCTAAGCTCAATACTGTTTCACATCAGCCGACTCCATTAGTATATTCCAGAAAGCTTCAGTCAGAAAGCAACAAAGAACACACCCATAACCTAATTACATGTCCATACATTTGCCAAAATACCAGACATCTCTGGAAATGCTAAGCACAAGGAGAAGTCAAATCCCCAGTTGTGCAGTGCACAGGAAAGGTGCTGAACTTTTCAGGTGTGTGTTCCAAATGCTTAATGAGAAATAGAACCTGTGTGCACTGAGAATAAGTCGATGTGTCAATTTATCAATATCCACAGTTCTGTCTCATAATATTATGAAACCAGAGGAAGCTACTTATTGTTGAGAAAAAAAGTTGTAAGTTTACAGGAAAAAATGAATATTCCCAATGAGGAGTCAGACTTCTTGTTTGTTTGTTTTGAAAAACTATTTTCTATTGAAAATGATTAATTGTAAATAGAATATTTAAACAGAATGCCAGTGGGAGGATTCTGTCCTGAAATCTTTAAAAGACATTCGCTACTGGGAGCAGTTTGGACTGCTATGCTTATGAAAGAACAAAGTTCTTAGATACTTAAGTCAAGATGCACTGTGTCAATTTAAACAATATGAAGTTTAGCATTTCTTGCTACTGTTGCTTTTAGGAACAATTTATTCATTCCATCCATCCACTTCTCTCTCAGGAGGCGAAGAGGGGCTATTGAAAGTGCGCAGTCAAATGTGAGGAAGAAACCTTTTCAGATGACAATTGAATCTTGATACCACAAGTGTCTGAATATGAAGTGTCCAATTCAAGAAGTTACAATGGAAAAGCTAATCTCATGTCTTTTTTTTGTCCTTGAAAATATTTGGAGTGGTATTTGTTAATTCCTGATACCTCTTTCCATCTCTCTTGTATGTTTATATATAGATGAATGTGTGAGTTTGGTTTTCAAAATCATTTCAGATTCAGTTTTTTAAAGAAAGAACTGAAAAATATAAAGGAGGAAAAAAAATTGTGGACTGTAAATGCTAGCCAAGTATTTTAGCATGAAATGTCTCTCCACAGTGACTAGTAAATCAGCCAAATTTCACAACAAAATTAGAAACATTTTACTTAAGAAGTTTGGAAATGAAACAGGATTTTTTTTGTCCCTGTGTTCTTGTCTTCCTCTTTTTCTGCAGAAACTATTTAGTCATATCCAATTCACACATGATATGATAATAAGACTTTTTGCATGACCTTCAGTTAATAGGCTTCACTTGGCCTTGGAGATGATTCCAGTAATTTTACACTATACAGTATGTTTCTGTCCATCCCCTTGTGAGCTTTGAAGTCCTTCATTTTTTGTTAGACACTTGTTCTCCTATGGAATGAATTCTGGTCAGAAGGAAGACATTTCAAATGAGAGAATGGTTCCTTTTCCCAGGAGAGGTGGTTAAGGTAACAAGGTTGTAGAAAATAGGCCATGCTTCCATCAATCACAGACTAGAAGTGCAGGATGCAACTTTCCGAGTGCCTTAGACAGTTCTTACCAGCCAGCAATCTTGCCTCCTCTGCATTCCCTGACATAAAATTACTTTATCTATTACACACATTGTGACTTCTATTGATCATTGAGGGTGAGCAATTATTTTCACAGTTTAGTTTTTAATTAATAAAAAAACAAAACAAACAAAACCAAGTACAGCACTAATTAAAACTTCAGCAGTATAGTAGAAAGCATTCACTTACCCTATGACAATGCAGGAGATGGCAGTTCCCAAAAATGCATAGGTTAAAATTGATCCCAAGTTACGAAAGAAATGTCTCTGGGGAGGAAAGTTTGGGGGAAAAAAAAAAAAAAGTCCTTTGTAATACAGTCAGTAACTGAACATTAAAACCAAGTTGCATCTAGAAGTGCCATTCCATCCATTCTTTTTCTTGCTACAGCCCATAGAAATAAAATGAAACAGTGTAGGCTATAGAAGTTGTTTTGGAAAATATGATTTGATTCTATTTTTTTTTTTTTGTCTCTTGGAGTGCCTTTTCAATTCTCTCTTTTATGCATCTGGCCAAATGCTTCAGGTTCACAGTAAAAGTGTCTGATATAAACTATCATGACATTATCCATTGAGTAAGCTAAGTTTTGATCATGCAGTGTATAAAAAATACACAGGCTGCTGCCTACTTGTAGTGTTACCAGATTCAAAGTGGCCTCTTCTGAAAATAGCAATGTCCACATGTTACAAACTGCACAATCAAATCTTTGCACTGTGACAGGGAGCAGATTGCATTTTTTACCATTCCTGTCAAGTTCTTACCTTGCAGTATGTTTGTTAACTGACTTTTTTTCTGTATTACTGGTCTGTTGGATCTAGAAAGTAGCAATCACACTAAGCCATTTCTGTAATTTAAGACAGAGGCACTTACCTTCTTTAAACTATATCCAGCATGAAATATAATAGGTGGCAGCAAAATATTGAAGAAGATGGAAGGATCGAATGTCATCTGCCAGAAAGGATGAAAGAGAGGGTAAGGAGACAGAATGTTATTCTGAGTTCTGTTTTACATATTAACGTGTAATTCCTTATTGCTCATATATGTAAAATACTATTTGAATGTTTAAAGAAGGAAATTGGTTATGAATATTTTAAGTATACAAGTAGTGTTACCTGTGATACTGTCATTACACTACTGCACTAACCAACTGGACAGTTCCACGCTTAATTCCTGGTTCAGATGAGGGCTTTGTGCACTGTCCTATGTCAGTTCCCCACTTACTCAGCAGTGGCAACAGAAAAGATCTGCACTAGCCAAACCAAACTAATGGTTCTTTCAAAACATGTCCATATAGTTCCAAACAGAGCTAGCTAAAGTTGCTTGATGAACTACTGGCTGACACTTCTTTGTGATCACTCTTTGTGATTCTTGCTCCATCCCACTGCCTGGCACAGCAGCAGACAACACTTCATACTCCATTACAGAGCTTGTTACACTTATATTCTGTGTAGTGACAACTAGGTCCTCTCTGAGTGCAGCCTGCCTGAGATGCATCTGGAACCTCATTATGTGTGAGGCACCAGACAACCTCCGTCTCCTTTGTTTTGTAAGAAGTGAGAATTTATTGTACTGCCTCCTCAGTGTAAAGCTGAAACTGCTGTATGTGAAATTCACTGCAGGAATAGTTCAGAAGTACTGTTTGTAATGCTGACCAGTTATCATTGAGCTCTTCTGATCACATCTTTTGTAACCTCAATTCACCTTGGGGCATGAAATAGAGAGAGAAAATACCAAGAAAAGCAGCTGGGAGACACAAGTAACCTTCTGAAGAGGCCCAGTTTCCTGAGCTTCCTAGACCAATTCTACCATAGCCAAGAGGCTGAGAAATGAAACTTTGTGCAGAGAACAGGGTTGAAAGTTCAGCAATCTTCTCTTTTGGGTACATAGCCAGGCTGTACACTGAGCTCTATTACAAGCTTTTAGGAATGGATGACTTCAGTTTAAAATGCTGTTATCTGCTTTCAGATATTCTGTCGATTTTATAAGAAAAGCATTTGTAAATTGAAAGTGAAGGCAGTACTAATGTTGCTATATGCCTAAGTACATTACAGAAGATTTAAACCTACATGAGTAAGAATGACTCACGCTTCAGATCATCTCAGTATTTTGTATGTGAATAAGCAGAATTGTCCTCATCAAAACATGTGGGATCAGCATCCAAACACAAAGTGTTTCTGCAAATTTCTGTAGCTTTTGTTTCCCTGGGATATTGTACCTCTGTATGACAGAAATAAGGAGGGGATTTCCCACTCTTTAAAGCTGTTACATAAATCTTACTTTAATAAGAGGTGAAATAGCATTACAAAGATGGTACCAAGTTGGTGATTTTGCAGGCCCTCTAAAACCATATACAAAATAATGGCCATCAAAATCCAGAGTGAGGAAACTGTTTTCTACTAAAGTTACTTAAATTCCCCTGGCAGTATCATTTCAAATATGTGCAGTTACCTACAAAACAAGACCCCAAATGATTTCTAAGTAATTGTATTCCAAGGCTTTATTTTTGTAATTTGGTGAGCTTGAACTAATTGTGGAACTTGCTAAGTAATTTATGCAGACTCTGAAGCCTCATCACCTCACACAGAGATTTATTGAATCAGATGCACTCATAAATTAGAATGCCTGTTTACTTCAGATCATTCAATCATTGGAAACTTTACAGACATTTGCAAGCAGCTGGATTTTCATGAATACTGTAATAAATTTTACTTGGAGCTATAGTAAAGATTGTCAGGAGAACACTGGGTCAATGTATCTTTCCTGTGACCAATTAAAAAAAAAGCTCAGAAAAAAAGCTCCTTAGCTCTTGAAACCACTAAACTGTGTCTCCATGTCACCATTTGAAAAAAAACATGAATACTGATAGAATCCCTTAGCCAAATGTTGTATACAGATTAATTACTAAATTTCAGTGAACACATTAAAAATATGCATAAAAATCTCTGCTTTAAGTGAGTTTCACAGCAGGCTGTATTTGTTTTTTTCCTTATTAACACTGTTTGCTTCTGTGTTGAAAATAGACCGAGGTCCAATTTGTTTACAGTACCTTGACAACAGGTTTGATATCAGATATCAATGGCCATTTTCTGAGTTGACTCCGCTTATTTTGTCTTGTGTCATTAACAAAAATCTTTAACTGATAAAAAGAATATTGTAAAATTTACTTTTGATACTTAAGAAAGTAAGAATGCTTCACAAGACAGGCAAAAGTCTGAAAAACTTCAGAGAAAACTCATGTTTGTACAGTCTGTCAGATGAACGTTACCTGAGAAGCTAATTCACGATTGTTACTGGTAACAGTATGAACATCGTCCATTTGCAGATCAGTAGCCAAAGTAACTTTCTCCCCATTTCACTGTAGCTATTTTTAATTTGGAAAATTCTCAAGGCCTAAATTTTAGCCAATGTAAAATACATTAAATTCTTTAATTTCAGAGAAACCAAATCAATACATGAGAGCCATAGAGCTAACTCATTATTTCCTCTTTCAGTTAGGTGGGAAATCTGCACCATCTATCAAAAGCTACAAGGTGAAGTATTTAAACTGAATATCATAGAGTATGAATGCAGGGCAAATAATCTTTTTTTGTAATAAATTGTGTTTGTAAGGATTTTGGCCTAGAGTATGTTCAGCCTCATTTTATTATCTACAGAAGAAATACTTAAAGCTTTTTCACTTTTTCCTGGTGCTTTCCTACTTGCATATAGAGAAAACTGATTTCTGCCAGTTGGTAGCAAGCTCTGGGATTGTCCTTCAGCAAGAAACTAAAAGAGAACAACCTGGCTTCACCTTCAGAGAGCCGTCTTCCTGTGCTTTTCTGATCTAGCGTGGGATCAGTGCTTAGCATAAAAAGGGCAATTAGTGTAAAACCCAGGCTAACCAACTTTACCGGTAAGTGAATGGAGACTGCCTAAGAGTGGTAGAAAAAGACCAAAACACCGTAGAAAACAGAGAACTCTTCAGCCACCCTATCTCATGCTTTATTTTCTGAATGCCATTGTTCAAATACTGAAGTGTGATGAAACTGTAAAATCATCCAGAGTTCACACAAAGTGCATTTCTCACCTAATACTATTCCATATACATGAAACACTAGTTGTTTTTTCTACCACAGCTAGAAACAGCAGTGCAGCTGTCAGTACACTGTCCAAGTTTGCCTTCGATTTCAGACACAGTGACCAAGAACAACTTTTAGTCACCACACTTCAAGTAACTTTCAATAGAGTGCTTTTTAAAGCTGGAGAGGAAAATATTTTTAATAAGCCTATGTACTGCTTACTGTTCTGTCAGCAGCTGTGCTACTTCAGCTCTCTTCTGTCTCTTCAAGAGACAGAACACAATTAGAGCAATGGCTTGCAGCTCCTTTGTTCAGATAAAGTGGTATTTTAAGGCTACACGTACTAGATCAATTATTTAGATTCGGAAGAGTGAGAGCTGCCAGAAAATGACTTCTGTCTTCTTGCTAGCAGATAGCGTCATTTAATAAACAGGAAGTGAGAGCTCAGCCTTTTTTTCCATTCTGCTTACTTAAAAATATCAAATTGACAAAAAACCTGCTAGCACATAATGTGCTGCTAACTTCATGGAACACGTGATACAAAGTGAATTCACTTGCAAACTCAAATGTTGACCTTGGAACTAATTCAGCAAAAGTTAAAATATTTCTTACATAGGCATCAGAAATCTTGAATGAATGTTTTACATTCAAAATGATTTGAAGGATATATCTTTGTAAGTCACAGGGCAGCCTGTTATTTCTGATAAATGCATGTAATAAACTCATATACTGAAGTCAAAAGGGAATTGCAGTTGAACAAAAATCAGACCATGGTGCGATCATGTTTTCTGTTTTGTATATCAGTGCTTTTGCCAGGCAGGAAGGCTGCCAGGCATTGCTTTTGTCTCCTAAATGCTGTCAAATGTCTCCCTCTTTCCTTTTTTTTACTTCTTTTTTTTTTAATAAGGCACTTGCCCTCTTACAGTGAAAATGTTAGCAGGCTCAGACCTCTCCTGTGATTTAGAGAAACCCACAATTCGTAGCGGAGACTTTTAAGAATCTTTCTGCAAATTGGGACTATGGAAACAGGAATGGGCAATTCCCTGTAAGAGCAACAGGAACCTCTGTCTTAGTCCTCCTCCCTTCCCATAACATGAGCCAGCTTCAGTATACCAAGTTTGACAAAAACATTCAAATGTAATAGAGAAGCACATCAGACTTGGGAACTAAACACTTGAACTAAGACAAACCTCTTGCAACTAGCAGGAAAAAGGATGAAGACTCAGCAAAATCTGGTTAGCATGACTGCCACAAGACTTTCCTGTCTCCACCCACCACAGCTCTCTGTTTTCAGCGTCTAGTCTTGTTCTCTCTTACACTGTTAGGAAATTAGCAGCAACTATAGGCAGGACACGAGGCAAGGACTTTGAGCAGATGGTTAAATCCAAATTCTGTGGAGATATCCAGTCTGCATTCTAAGCGTAAATTAAAAGCTTTGTATAATTATAACTGCTACTATACAAAAATATATTTTACTTGTATTACTGTGGTAGGTAAATAATGATGCTTGTTAAAATCAAAATAATATATTGAAATATTGTAAAAGACATTTGTAAGGGCTTAGAACCTGCATGTGAGTATGCAATGTCTTTGAATTTAAAGTTTTAGAGGGATTTTGGAAAGTCTCTCTGCACTCATAAATTCCTTAAGTTGCTGCCCTTTCTTTGAACAGACTATCAAGGGAAGCAAATATTGCAAAGGTGGAGAAATAATACACTAAATAATTAGAATATTTTAAGTGTTACATACTAGAAAATAGAAAAGTCCACAACATCGCAAAGGACTCTAAATAAAATAAATGAAAGAAATATCTCACACAATTCAGAACAAAAATAAAATCATTTTTACCTTTTGAAGCATTGCGTTGCCCTGGTGACCATTGACATTGTGATGGTTGATTTCTCTTTTGTATTGGTATTCGTAGACCTGATTAGTTATATTAATAAGTAGACTGGATGGCCCAGATTTCAGCTTTTCACATTCATAAACAGTTCCATTTTCAACATCTGATGTTTTTGTTGCATATCGTATAATTAATCCCATTACAAGGCCTGGAGAGTAAAAAAAAAACAAAGAGATTCAGGTGAGTTTAAGCATTTGATGCTGCACAGTCGCTGACTTGGGGAAAAATGAACTTCCCTGCTCTTGTTCTACTAAAGCTAGAATGTTATTTTCTCAATGTTTCTACCTTCACACATGTACACGTGACTCAGTACTCTATGGGGGGCCATAACATTCTTTCAAAACGTTAATTTCATGAGAATACTGATTTTGGTTTGCCATGTCCTCAGCTGTACTCCTATTCTTGCAATCCAGTTGTTGGAATCATTCTGTTACAGCAGTTGACTTAAATACTGTGCTTTCAATAGATACTGAGAGAAGGGGCATGAATGCATATCTGAAGTGCTATGCTGAGCATAAAAAAATCAGCTGTGATCTTGGTGGTTTCACACACTTCTTCATGGAGGTACATTTCTTTCTTTCTCTTGGCACTAGTGGGAGCTTGAGTGATTACTTCAGGAAAAGTAACTGTTATTTATCTAGATTACATTACTGGAGATGATTAATTGTAGGAAATAGCGGATAGGAATCTGAAAGATAAGTTTCATTATGTAATGTCATGGATGCTGTGGATAATCAAAGTGGTCATAAGCACCTGGTCAGGTGTCAGTTATTTTCACATTTTTCACTAAGAGAGGCTTTTAGAATAGACACAATGCAAGCTTATAGATTCCTGGACTGATGATGCAACAGAATGACATCTGTATTGCATTTTTTGTATGTACATGCATTCATGCTTGTTTAGTATGGTCAGCTACTTCAGATGGAACAGGATTGAGATATGCAGCAGAAAACATCAAGGCTTTTTGAAGATACAAAGCATTTGTGTAGTGAATCAGATAATAAATCTAGCTGTAGTAAAAGACTGAATTCCTCAAAAAAAAACCCCAAAAAACAGAGAACCTCTTTGGTTCATGTATTTTGAACCAAATTCTGTTTGATAATTTAAAAAATAAAAAGCGTTCTCCATTACAGTAATGTAATTGAACAAAATTGCTTGAGGGAAAAAACATTTCAAAATTTAGTGTCAAATTTAGATTAGGAGTCAAGAGGGACTGTTCTTTTTTTGTATTCTTATAAAACATTATCTCCAGTGGCAGATTCAAGCTACCTCTGTAAGAAGATTTGTTGATCATAGTCATGCAAGATGATCCTTGATTATAAATAAATCAATTTGCAGAAAATGATTGTTTTAAATATATGACAACAGTAGTTGTAATTTTCAGTCAGTATTGATCAATTCTCTGCAACTGGCATTCATGTCAGCCTTTGGATTTTCTTCTACAGTTTTAGTTCTTATCCTCAGATGGAGTTCAGATTTGGATAATACACTGTGCAATAAAACAATGAAACAATAATGAAAGTGCAGGGAAATTGTGTGTCATCAATAGCATACACATATTAAAGAATTTCTATTAGAGCACATTCTAACAATATTTTCAGGGTATCAATGAGGTTTTGAAGTCCTTTTAGCTTTTAAAGCAATTCTATGATGCTTTAGATGTGAACAAAATATAGATGGGCTCTATAATGATGTGCTGCTTCAGAATGTTTTCAAATTCTCTATGGAAAGTTTGGACAAAGACAATTGTTGTGGCATTACACTGTGCTGCAGGAATCAGTTACGGTGGTGGAATAGTATTGTTCCTTCTGTAATAATAACTGTGCCAAAGTCCCTAGATAAAAATGCTGGTAAATTAAAAATCTGAGAAGATTATATTTAATATTTCAGTAGGTATATCATTTATGGAATGCACTTTCTTCTTTAAATTATTATGTAATATCTCTTTAATGACAGAATTCAGGAGTCCAGATTATTAATATAAATAATTCAATTTTAAGTAGCTGGATAATGTAGTCGTCTTTCCTCTACTCCACCTTCCAAGCTGAAATCATGATTTTGTGAAATCATGCTTCTGTAGTGTAGAATATTTCTTACTGTTTGTTTAAAGAAAAAAAGCTTCTGGGAAATACCATGATAACTATTTTTTACTATGAAAGAAAGCTAACAATTTCTAAGACCTGAACCATGTTTCAAATTTAATGCAGTTTTTCTAAATTCTGCATATTCTGTAAGTAGAAAAAAAGTCCTTAATCACATGAAAGAGTATTGGAAGGGATTTCCTAAGTCACCCATGCCAAAATCTTGAGCTACACAGGATTGTTGTTTTTTTTTTTCCATGACTTTGTCTGGTCAGCTTCCCTTTAAATAAGGACATTAAGGGAACCTCCAGAAGAGGCTAGGCTCAACAAGTATTCCCACTGCATACCTGCCAGGAATTGAGCTATTGGGGGAGGAAGTGTTAGGCCTCCAATCTCAGCCCTCCAATCCCTTCCAAACTTCATGAAGCAGCTCAAAGTCCTCTGACATGGAGCCATTTCTTTCTACTAAGAGCTGTTCTACTGTGTTCTGTTCTTTGTCATTATGATTTCCTTTCAGTCTGATAAAAAGTTCTATGGAACACAGCTTTAAAAGCAGGTGCACCTTCCACCAGCCTCACCTTTATTGTATTCCCTAGTGTGAGAACTATTCAACTGAGAATGGTTTTTAACTGGTAGAGCCAATGAGACTAGCAGATAATGACACCATATTGATGGGATGTTTTGGATTTGTTTTGTTTTTGTTAGTTTTTGATAAAGTTTAATTTTGGTTGCCTACCTCCAAGAGTGCTTTAACCTATTAATTACACATAACTGGTAGCACCTGCACTTCAGCTCTGATACCTAAATTTTGAGGTGGATAAGAACTTTGGCTGCTTACAGTCTACTTTTTTTCATTTAGTATGCTCTGGACAATTCCCTTTTAAAATGAAGGACTGTGAATTATGTGTTCTATGGGGAATTTTGCAATAGATCTGGTTTATGATTTAGTGATCTAGAGAAATTCAGCCCTACATGAGATGACTAACAAGCTTTAGAAATACTCATGCACAATTTCTTTTGAAGCCTTATTTGGTTTTCTGTGTACATTCTCAAGTGTTTGAGAAAGTGCTTACTATAGTGCTTACCACCTGAATATGTTAATTTTGCTCCTTCTATTCAGAGTAGCACAACAGTACTCTTTCATATTCATCTGCCTCCTTGATATACAGAAACAAGAAAGTAAGATGAGGCTCTTGTTTAGGGTCTGTCAATGCAAGCTACAATACAGAGAAACCTGTCCCCCAAGATCCTGGAGAACAAAGTGGCGAACAAAAAAACAGTAAGTCTGCGTTCTTTGTTTTTTTTTGTGAGTAACTGGCTTTTCATTTGGTGCTGAAACAGAAGAACTTGAGAGTGTTAGTGATTTAAAGAGCTAAACACCTTGCAATAACTGCATACACTGTATCTACAGGTAAACAGTACTTGAACAAAAAAACCCAAACGCCCGTGCATAAGCTTAAACTAAAAGTGTTCTTTTTTATTTTTTGGTAAATATTGAAAGATTACTGGTGTAAATAGAGCAGCTATATTTTACGTAAAAGCACTGATTTTATTAAGAAATCAATTATTTTCAATTTTTAATGTTTCAAATATTTTCAAGTTGTTTTCTGTTGTTGTTGAAACTGTTCAGCCTAAGGATGCATTTACCTTGGAAGTTTATGCAGGGGGAAAAATGTATGTATACTTTAAACAGAATATACTATTAGTATGTTCTTAGTGTCTAAGTTGTGTCTGTGCAGCATTTTGCAGAAAATCTAAAAATTCCTGTGTTTGTATCTCTGTTCTTTCCTCCTGGTCTTCCTCGTATTTCACTTTCCCCATACCTTCCACTGCTATACCTCTGATGGCATGCTGTCCTGATAAGGAATACAGACCCATCCATCATACTGTAGGACACAGTCCACAAATAAATGGCAATATTTTGTCATTTGAAGCAAAACTGTTGGCTTCTTGTGCTGTCATTCACATATCTAGGAAACAGCTCAATGGACTGCAGTAAAGCAAGCTGCAGAGCAGGTGTATTATAATACAAAACATACATAAAAGATAACTATTCTGATAATAAAGACAGAGATTGCATAGAAGATCAGCTGTAGCAAAGTCACTTAGGTTTAGCTGTACTGAGAGTAGGGCAGCATCTACCTGACTGCCAGTACTTGGTGCTATGACGACTTCCTGAACTGATTTTTCTCCTGGAGCTGCTGTCAGCTCATCTAACATCTCTATCATTACCTCAAAAATTCCACTTTATTTTCATGATCACAGTTTCATAATGCTGAAGATACCCAAACCCATATTCAAAATTTTGACGAATGGAGGGGACACAATCAGCTTTCCAGATCCTATGAATGAAAATGTTTCCATGCTTAAAGGTCACCATGAATAATGCAAGTCTAAATAGCTTATTTGCAACCATGAGGATCATTTCCTTAGTTCATGACTGTTTTAATAATTCAAAAACTCTGTCTTGCTGGAGCACTGATCTCTTTATTGATCAAAAGAATATCAGGAGCTGGTTATCTTCATGATGTGTAGATTGCATTTTGGGCAGGCAGCAAAATGGAGCTAGAGCAGATAGCGAAGTGGAAGAAGATAAAATTCTAAATCCCATCTTATTTGTCTAATTTCATATTGCGCCATTTGTATTTTCCTCTTTTTTATCAGCTTTCAGCAAATGTTATCAGCTTCACATGAGAAACTACAATAGCTGGCAAAAGCTGTTATAGAAGTCACTCAAACAATTATAACAATAGTGGTTTACAAGTTGATTAGTTCACCTGCCGTAGTCTACAAGTTGATTGCAATGAAAATATTGCAGTGTTTGCATGTGGTGCGACACAAATATTCTTCAGAATTGCAGCTTTAACAAAATTGGTTTTGGTATCACTGCTGAAGTATTTAACGTGCAAAGAATGAGTCAGTCTGGGATTAAGATGAGTCAAGATGAGCTCTCTACAGAGCTGTAGATTTACATTTTTTTCTTCCATTTTGACAATTATACATACACTGCATGTGTGTCATGTGGCTACAGAATCGGAAATCACACATGAGAAAAATGAAATGGTAGCAAGAGAGAATGGCATGATAAGCTCTTATACACATAAGACTACATAACTAGTGAGTAATTCTTACTGGTGGGCAGTGCAGAAGATTTCACATGAAAATGATGCACAATATTGCAAAACAGCATAAAAGAAGATTAGAACTTGACAGGCAAATTGAAATTACAGTACAATGACAGCATTCAGAGATCACTCAAGAGAGGCATTCTTCGTAGTCTGCTTTTCTAAAGCACTGTGGGGGGGAAAACAAAGTCTCAAAATGATCTAAACTTCATCAGGTAACATGGGTAGATTCATAAAGCTTCTTAGTCTAAACTTTGAATGTTATACAAAACAAGTGTGTAAAATAGGCATATTAAATAATTTCTTAAACTCTAGGCATTTGTAATGCTTAGAAATAGTAAATTCTCTGATTTAGGAAGTGTCATTCAATGGCAGTCTGCATGTACAGGAACATAACCTGCACATCTTGAGGTTTAACAGCTCATGGTATTCACTCAACAAGTCAACCTGTAGCTACCGCACAAGAGATGGTATTACATTATTTTACTGCACATTTAAGGGGCTGATGGCACTTCATTCAGCATGTTTTCTGAGCTTTGTCAGCACTTGATCTCAAGTGCCCGGTTATAAATACGCAACTACTCCTATGTCAAACCAGCACTTGAATTTATACTTACCATAAACCATAGCTCCTCCAGTTTCATGCAGAAAGCGGAATCGATGGTTTTTAAACAACCAAATTGTTAATATTGTAAGAATAAGCAGAAAGTTAAAGACTAGCAACTCCACAGCTCCCTCATGATAAAACTGATCTTCATCTTTCAGCAATGCATATTTCTTCAACTTCTCCATTTCATTCCCTTTACAGAGAACACACACAATATAAAAGAATGAAAAAAATCCCAGAAGAAGGAAGGTGTTATCACCTTTGGCATACAAAAGTTCAGACACTGTAGCAATTCACAGCAAGCACATCTGCTTGATTTGCAGCCTCACGGTGAAGTGCCCCAGCTCAGAATTCAGCTGGATTCTCGTTACAGCTTCCTGTTTCTGTCTTAAAGCTGCCCTGTCTTATTTTTAATGTTACGGTTGCATCACTGCACTGTGTTTGCTCCAGCTGTAAATGCACAAATGTCTGCAAAGCTCAGACTCTGCCAATTTTCTCAGATTTTGTTGTAAAACTTAGTCTGCATTCATAAATTTTCATTCTGAAACACAAACTGAAACCTAAAAATCATATTTGATTTTTGTAGTTTTAGCTGGAAAAACTGACACTAAAAGAATGATATAGCAACCTTCACTACTCCTTAGAAGTTTATAAAAGGTCTTTCCACTTTCCCACTTTTAAGTGTAAGCAACATAGAGGGTGATATTACATTTTTTCAAGAAAATCATGGAAATTATTTAGGCTGGAAGTTACAGCTTCCTGGTCGGAAGGGACCCTTAACATCATCTAGTTCCAACCCCCTGCTATAGGCAGGGACACCTCTCACTAGACCAGGTTGTTCACAGACCTATCCAGCCTGGCCTTGGACACCTCTGGGGAGGGGGCATCCACAGCCTCACTGGGCAACTCGTGCCAGTGTCTTGCCATCCTCACAGTAAAGAATTTCTTCATAATGTTTAGTATAAATCCACCCTCTTCAGTTTAAAGCTGTTTCCCCTCACCTTGTTGCTACATGCCCTTATAAAAAGCCTCTCCCAGCTTTCCTGGAGGCCCCCTTCAGGTAATGGGAGGCTGCTATAAAGTCCTCTTAGGAGCCTTCTTTTCCCTAGAATGAAGAGCCTCAGCTCTCTTAACCTGTGCCATAGGGGAGGGTCTCCAGCCTTCTGATCATCTATGTGGCCCTCAGGTTGCTGGAGTACCTCCTGAGCAGGGAACAATGCATAAGGATTTCAAGGTTTAAGCCCTGAACTCTCCTTGATCCTGTAGGTAGCCAGAAGTATGTGGAAAAGCAAAGGTTGGATAACCTAGAATTTAAAGCAATTAAAAACCCTAAACCTATCAAACTGAATAAAAAGCAGTGGAATTATATTATTCCTTTATACCATCTCTGCTATTTGCATGTTTTCATTGCTTAAACCAGGAAAGCAGCAGAAATTGTATTGCTCTTAATAGTTAATCCTCATGGAAGATTTCTGTCCTGGCCTAAAGCTGCAGTACTGTGCTGTGCAGGAGGGAAGAATTCTAAAAAAGCTCTCATATTCAATCTATCAAGAAAAAAATGGTTCTGCTTCTTAGTACAAAAAGATAACTTTTCCCTCACTATTCTTTTTCGCAATCACACTGGCTTTTTTTTTTTTTTTTTTTTTTTTTTTTTTAAGATTTTGAGCAAACTAAGATATGGAGTATTCATTCCAAATCAAGTATTGATCGAATACTTGAAATAAATACCTAGATGTCTACTATATAGATGATACTATTGGTAATTTCAGGGCTGTAGCTTCTAACAGAATGACTATTTCTAAGGAGGCACTGTTGCTTCAATCTACAATGTTTTGTAATCACTTTCACTCAGCAAACAATTCAGTTTCCTACTAAGCTAGTTTCATCATATTTTATGTGTTCAGATTTTCTTTGACTTTCTGTGAAGAAAAGTAGTTGTCCTGCAGTTCTTTTTCACAGAATCACACAAGACCACATAATGGCTGGAGCTTTGAGTCCATCTGCTCCAAGGTCTGTCTGCATGACCACCCAGGCCAGGGATCTCCAATGAGATCCCACAGCCTCTCTGGTCATCACCCAAGTGCTTTATTACTACACAGCACTGAAGCACTTCCTGGTGCTCAGAGGAAACATCCTGTGTAAGTTTGTACACAGTGCCTCTCGTCCTGGCACCGGGAACCACGGAACAAAGCCTGGGGTTTTTTTAATTCATCTTTTTTCTTCAATTACCAGGTGTTTTTCCTTATTAGTGATTTTACTCTGCAGTTATAGTGTCTTCTCTCTCGTTTGTAATTCTCTTATTTTTATCTTTCCTTCTGTAATTTTACCTGATAATTTGTAAACTTCATTAGTACAAAGCCAAAATTGTGTTTCTGAACTGATTATCTGTGGAGTCTCAGAGATGAAAAGTAGGCCAAAAAAACCCATCCCAAATTAATGACTCATGCATTTCAATCTTAAATAAGGATAAAACTTTGATGTTAACTCAATTTAAATGGAAAGGATTTAATTCTTCTAAAAATATTACGAGTCACGTGGCTGAAGTTTAGAACTTTTCCAAGGGATGAAAAAAGAGTAAAGAGTTGATTTGGATATCACCCTCATCGCTTGGAAATGACAGTGACCTCAGTAGATACTTAGAGACTGATTGGTGCTTCTCCACTGAAGATGAAGAAAAGCAAAACAAAAATAATTCGAAATTAACCCCATTCAATACCTATCACTATAAAAACCAAAGTTCTTAGTTCTCCTCACCAAATAAATAATTTGCAAGTGCTCAAAATTAAAGGAAAAGAAGCACAGAACAGAGGAAGGAGGGCATTTTGTACTGAGGATCTCAGTGATTATGGTATTCATATCAGGTTTGGAGGCAAGGTTCAATTTCCTCTTCTATCTGAATCTATCTGAGCCCTATTTCTTACCAGATAATATGGAATTTCTCTGTCTTAAATGTTAGAGCATTTCTGCTATACAGCACTAAAAACACTTAAGTGTTAATTTCCCAAAGCTTCAACTTCCCCTACTGCAAAGAAAGGCTGCAACTCTTCCTCAGCACACAAGATAAGCTGCAGCATGTTTGTGAAACTATCACACAGCACAGCAATTTACACCATACCCAAATGTGGATGGAAACAAATTATTTTAGTTTTAGTACTAGATTTGGATAATAAGCATCTTTTAATTTATTACCCTATAATGGGTAGTGGAAATGGTAGGAATGTGAGTTATGCATTCTCTGTGTCCTATCCATCTGCATACTGTTCACATCACATCAGAAAACCAATATGTAATCATACAAATAAAAGGTTTATTGCATAGGAGTCAAGGCAGAAGAATTTGGCTTGTAGTAACAACTGGAATTCCGTATTTCCCAGCTGTTGTCTCTTTTAATATGAAGTATCTTAGAACATACTAAACATCCTCAGAAAAATATTAGGAAAAAGGGTTATGCTGGCTATCACATATGCAGTGCAAATTGGTAAGCAGTGCATTAGTGGACCAAAATTATTATAGTTTGCTTTAATTCTCCACTAAATAATTTTACCTAGAGCTTCTAAGTGTTTGTTTGAAAAATGTTATTTAAGGGGAAAACAAAAACCAGACCTTCTTCAGGAAGAATTTTCTAAAAGCAAATATGTTATGGAGAATAACTAAACATTGCAGTGGTTGATCCACTCATGTCTCTGGGTGTGAAACTGTTACAGAAAGAACCAAAGGGTCATTAGAGGGACTTTATTTACTTTCAATTTGTTTGTTCTTTTATTTCTACTGAGCAAAAAAACCACAAACTTGTTCCGAGATTTACACTTTCATTAAGCTGTAAGTTTCTGAAGGTTGACTTTTAACTAAATGAAGGCTTTTATGCATGTCCCAGCTGAAACCAGAGCACTTCCTGAGTAGGGTTTGGGCTTAACAAGTTAATCTAGACACAAAGCAAACTTTTTCCTTTACTGATAGTTAAAGGAGTAAGTTTCCTTAATTTCAACATAACTGTACTGATAAAAGATGCTTGTTGCTGTAGTGGATGAGGATAAATTATGTATTTTACCACTTCAACTGCTTTCATATTGTGGGCTGCCTAGAGCTGAATTCTGGTAGAAAAAAATCACACCACTATAGAAAATAGCTAAATTATTCCAAAGCAGCCTTTGAGGATATACAACAGCTGTTGGATCCTAAGTCTAAACATCTCTCTGTTTTATTTGTTTGTTTGTTTTGTTTTGTTTTAATATTGGAGTATCTATTACAGCCACAAAAAAGTTGGGAGAAATGACAGATTTCTATCTCTTGTAGATAATGCCTAGGCTAGGCTAAACAGTTCAGTTTGTGTGTACAAGCATACTTCAGTGAGCGATTTTTGAATGTTTTTCTTCATGCACAGCAGTAGATATTGGGGAAATGCTGCAGTTAGTGTTTTATTATGGAAGATTTAAGTTGCAGGTATTGGACTTGGGTGCTTAAATTCTGCCAAAAACTTGGCACAACTGTTTGTATAGTTTTGGGGAAATTTGCTTCTAAATAGTATTTGTCATGTCACAGGTCTGGCTTTTCTCCCAGAGATGTAAGACAGAATTTTAAATCAGCTTTCCAAACACAGCCACCCATCACAGACAAGGGCATCTGTGATCGCATGAGAGAATAATTTTCTTTAAAGCTTTTAACATGCAGAAAAAAAATCGGTTTCCTTATCTGTCTGTGTAACTGAAAAATTCTAGTGTTTCACAACATAGTTGTTTCCTGTTTGAGGACACATTTGCCCTCAGAGATTATGTTTTCTTTCTCATCTTTCTGATTTATTGTCATCATTCATTCACTGTGAAGTGGTGATACAAAGCAAGAGTAACTTTTTTTTTTCCTGCAAGACACATGACACTTTTTTCTAAGTGAGCTGCCAGAGTTTACCTACATGTGTAGGACATCACAGACTTAAATGGATTCCTTACAGATACTACCAGGCTATTCAATCTTAAGACTGGGAAGATCAATAATTACGTAATTTTCAAGGTTTGTTTGTAAATGGGCTTAGATCATTAAGTGAAAGATGATATCTGAATAAAAGTTAATATCAGCTTTTGCCATTCACAGTTATTTTAAACAGACTTTACAAACAGAAATTAATGCTGATTCCCTTGTACTTGTGTGGTAAGGCATTTGAAAAGTATCATAATGGCTAAGAATATAGTGGAAAAGAGGTCTCCTTTTTGAATTTTAACCCAATGCTTTCTGAATGTGTGAGAGCTTCAGCTGCAATGCATGCATTATCACCACTACACAATCTCTGAATTCTGAACAGAGTATGAAGATATGATGATTAAGGTAAACTAAGTATCTGAATCAAAATGT